GTTTTATTGGAGTGCATGAAGCAAAGTTTCAACGTATGCAGTGCGTGGTCGCGTAGAGCTGCTCGTCAGGGAACAGCACACACACACACACAGCGCTAAATTATAGCAATGACTATAATATATGTACAATAAGTGCGTCAAATAGACTCCAGCAAGAAAGATAGAAAACATAAGCCATTCTAATCAATTATTTCCTTGCAATCGCGTTGCCCCTCCAGTTCTTGTTTCTGTTCCTCTTCGTGGCGGATGTTCTATTTCTCTTTCTGTCTACTATTTTCATTCTTGAAACATGTCAGTCAACATATTTCCCGCTTTTGGCGTTGCAACTGCCATCCTGCTTTCATGATTAGCAGAATCGAGCTCTCTTCCCCCGACCACCCTCGTAGCTTGCTTCAAGGCGACGTTTTCTGTGATCAGCGGTGCCAAACCAAGATTCCATGTTCTGCTGCCGTAACAAACTCTGCAGTGTGAATGGTGACCCGCTGATATTGCATTCCGTCCCCTCTTCCTCACAGAGTACTATTGAAAAAGGCTCGGTCCGACTGGCAACTGTGAATTGTACTTCCATGCAGAACCCGATGCCTACCTGTTGGGGTATTGGATCCTGGAAGCAGTGAGGCAGTGCTTTATTGCTAATTCTTAACGACGCAGACTTATTCTGAAGTTGCGATAAGAAGACTTTCAACTCTTTTGTCGAAAATGCCAAACGACAGAGGACCTGTCCGCGGCACTGTAATCTTCCGTCACAGTACGTAATCGGCGTAGAAGAGGATAACTCAAAGACAAAAAGCTGGGCCCTGATGTGCTGAACCAGTTTAGGAAGTGCTGGGGATGTCTGTATGCTCTCACGGGCGAGGCGGCCAACTTCCTCCATTTCAGAGACATCGTCCAAGGCTGGTCCATTTCCTTCGAACTCAAGATCGAAACGAAAGAACTCGCTGCTATCACCGAGCTTCTTATGATTCATTAATTGTTGCCAAGCTCGCCTCGAACTGCTGCTATTCCAAAAGGCTCGGTATACTCTGGCAGGGAAAGAGTCATGAAAGAAATGTGGCGGATCGACAGTGGTTGGACTTCTAGGTTTGGCTGAGCCGGTACCCAAAGAAACAACAAGGCTGGGCTCCGCTGGGAGGGGAAATATGGCAGCGGTCTCCTCTAAGGCTATAGATGCAGGATTGTTGAACATGAGTCCACCATCCTGAAACGTACCTAAACCATTGATGTGTCGAGGTTTGAAGTAACTGGATAATGTCAATGGCTTAATTCTGGATCAATGAGATGGATACCATACTAAGGTGCTGCCGTGCTACATCGAACACTATTTTGAGTTAGCAGCTTGTATATGGCCAAGATCAATGTTTCTTACATCTCCCATAGTGGTATCTGACCCATGCCGCCCGAAGGCTTAAGAATGTGGTAGTCGGATGCTAGCATTGATTAGACAGCTCCGCGTGGGCAATAGATTTCTTGAATGCGATGTCCTTGATCATGCCACAATAGGCAGCCTCCTATCAATTATACAAGAAACAAAGCATTTCAGATGGGAGCTTGAAATATCGGGAAATGAGTAACGACTTCCGTGAAGGCATAGCTATCCAACAGCCAACAAAGGCAAAGGTTGGAAAAGTAGCTTTTGCAACATACGCTGGAGAAGCTGATAATCAGCCCCAGGACGGGAATCAAGACGAGGATACTCGCCCCGTTGAAGATAACGTGCTTCCACGATCAAGTGCGACTAGTTCACGCAGAGGAAAGGGAGGACGATCAGTCCAAAAGAGGCAAAGGGACAATAGATGTTCAGCCTGTAACCTTCCTCACGCCCTTGAAAATTGCCATTATGTATTCCCAGAAAAAGCACCATCAAGCTTCGTTCCCTACACAAATATACAGACACGAGTAAGCAGAGTTCTTGACGAAGACGCTAACCTACAAGGACAGGTTCGTGGTATGAAGAGAACCAGAAACAGCAAAAGCAGCACACCACGAATCACCAAAGAAGAATCACTCCCGATCAGTCCAGATTGACTTGAAGGCAGAGGGGTGACCGTTCACGGAAGTTTCGCTGCGTCAGCAGAGGACTATCCTCTCCGCCATTCAGTCATTCTGGACCCGGCAACAACGATATCAATCACCAACACTGAGGCAAGGCTCGTCAACTATCGGCAAGCACCCGATCACGACTTCGTGTGGTTCGGGGACCGGAAGTTGCCGATCCATGGATACGGCACGATGACAGTGCAACTAGGATCCAGGGTGCTGCTGCTGAATGACGTCGCCTACTGCCCCAGACTAGAATGAAGGGGATTTCCTGCCCATGGGCAGACCCGGGGTCACTTCTTGTCAATTTACAATGATACCTGCAGACCCACGGGATCCGTGGATCTGAGGGGGTGTGTCAGATGTGGTGTGCTATAGAAGTGTTGTAGCTAGCACACCATGGAACCCCCGAGGAATACCCGGTACCACCAAAATAAGCACGCAAAGCGTACCACCTAGTCAGGATAGAACATACATCAATACATCACTCAATTTGCTCCTGAACAAACCGATACAGTCCCCCACATTTGACACTAACTGTCCTTGTCCTTAGGACCGACTCCGTGGCCGTGTCTCTATTTTTTTGCATTGTCTTTGGGCGGCAAGGGTGTATGTTCGTAACAGTTCCGTAGAATTTCAAATGTAAAGAGTATGTTTTCAATACGGACTCCAGGGTGTGGCGCGTATACTTAAAGAGACTAATGCGATATAATTTGACCCGAAACTTGAGGCTGGATCCGAGCTGAGCTGGATCGGGGTTTATTACCATTTAAGGCAAAATTTCCCTAACGCCAACACTTACTAGCAGCCAAGCGGCTCTGTGGAGACCCCAGACATCCCCAGATTTTGTCTTCAAGTCGATTTATGCACTTGTGAAGAATTGTGGGGATTACCCCAACTGTGCTTTCTGTACTACCTGGTGACGGAAGTCTTGTATAAGAACCCTGTGTCTCGACGTCTCTTCCCAAAGCGAGCCATCATCTGTGCTTCCCATCGCTTGACATCATCTTCTTTTTGTCATCATGACCACAAAGTCCCTCCCAGACGGGAGTCCCGTCCTTGCTGCTTCACCAGGTCAAGGTATCGATCATGAACGTACTCGAAACGGCCTGGAAAGAGTCTTGACCAGAACATCCTACAATCCAAGATATCCCGATTGGTTACGTGGTCGGCCACTGCTGATTTTGACGTCCGTCTTTGGTTCCCTAGGCGATGCCTTATTTGGCTATGATCAAGGTTTGTCGTTTTGTTTGGTTGATATGACACCTCTGGAAACTCAACGAGACTAGGTATCATGGCAGGTTTGCTTGTCAATCCTGTGTGGATTAGCACATTATTTAGTGACCACGGTGGAGCGGACGGTAGCACTGACAATGTCGACACAACTCTAATCGGTATGCATTGACCCTCGATTACTCCAGCATTTTGGACAGACCGCTTATTGCTGTTTGATTACAGGTATCACCGTTGCTTGTCTTCAGGTAGCCGCGGCTCTGACTGCCTTCGCATCGGGACATCTCTGTGACCTCCTCGGCCGTAAGCGATGTGTCCGACTGGGAGGCTTCCTGTACTTGGGTACTGCCATTATACAGGCTTTCGCGCCCAGCCTGGCGTGTTTCATCTGCGGTCGAACATTGCAAGGTTTCGCTGTAGGCGTCTTGTCTATGACTGTCCCGATAATTCAAACAGAAATAGCACGGCCACATCGAGTACGTTTGATTCGCAAGTTCGCCTGCTCACACGGGAGCCTTTTAAGCAACGGGACTGATTTAAAGGAACTAGCGAGGACTTATGGTGGGAATCGAATACAGCTTGTTGATCGCTAGCTACTCCCTGTCCTGCTGGGTGAACTACGGCTTCTACTTTCTCGTCCCCAGCGTCGAATCGTGGCGTGGACCCTTTTATATCCAAATGGGTTTGGCGGCCATCCTGGTTTTCATGTCCTTCATCCTTCCCGAGACACCGCGATGGCTTGCCAGTAATGGATTCCCCACAGAGTGTCTGCAAACTTTGGCGGATTTACACGCCAACGGGAATAAAGACGATGCAGACGTCCAACACGTCTACAATGAGATTCAACAGGCAGTGGCATATGAGAAGGAGGTCAAACAAGATTCGTGGAAGGTATGTATCGTGACGATTTTCGGTGTACCTGCCCACTAACAGCTGGATTGTTTCTAGCACATGTTTACACGATACCGAAGACGCACACTCATGGCCGTCACGGCCCAAATGTTTGCACAGCTCAATGGCATCAACGTCATATCTTTTTATCTACCTAGCACGCTCTCCAGTGCCGGTTTCGATACCGCCAAATCGCTGCTTTACACGGCAGCAAACTCACTCATCTACATTGCTGCCACCGTGCCGACCTGGTGGCTAGCCGACTCATGGGGAAGAAAACCGCTTTTGATATACGGAGGTGAGCAACTGCCTGATCGGGAAAATTGGATATCAGGCGGGAATATCTCTGCTAACATGGATAACCATCGCAGGCTGTGGCATGGCAGCGTGCCTGGCGATCATGTGCGCCTTTACCCAAAGCGAGAACCTCGCGCCATTGACTAGGGCTAACGGCATGTTCTCTTTTGTTATCCTTTACAACGCGATATACGGCGCCACGTGGGGTCCCATGCCTTGGTTATTACCAGCTGAAGTATTCCCTCTCTCGGTGAGAAGCAAGGGTGTAGCTCTGGCTACAACGTCGAATTGGTAAGAGTGTTATGATCCAAAGAAAATAAAACTTTCCTCCGGGAATTTACAAAACGGGACTAATATGTACTGTTTTCCAGGCTCTTCAACTTTATTATCGGCATGTCTTCTCCTTCGGCATTTGCCGCTATGAACGGTTATTATTACATATTAATCCTTGGGTTCTGTTTGTTCTCTGCGGCTTTGGTTAAGTTTTTATACGTGGAGACTGCGCAACATACCTTGGAAGAAATCGCAACGGCGTTTGGGGATCGTGCTTTTTTGGACGAAAACAGGACACCGGGTGTGCCAGGTGCAGATAAGCAAGATGTCAAAATCGAGCATTGTGCTTAAATCTAACGATTATACTAATGTAACGACTATACCAGCCCGGAGAAGATTTGCAAAATTGGAAGGATTACTTGATTAGGTGGAGGGACCATGGCTACAGTGAGAAGATTTTCATACATTCATCACCCCCCGGCCATAAAAGTGCATCATTGTATAACAAAATCGTGCCTCTCCATTTCTTCCAAGCTATTCATGGGTAAAAGAAAAGCTGACGGGGTTGACGCATCAGACGGGGTTGAGCTTGATCACTGGGGCATGTCGCAAAAGCAGCTTGAACTTCTACGGAAGCTTCGCGATGATGTAAATTTCGTGATCAGCGTTACGTAAGACATTAGTATCCCGTTGATTGCACAGTACTCACTGACCATAATACTATCTAGTATCTTCAGCGAGTGGCCCCGATATCTCGGACCGCGACCAATTAATCTGACTCCTGATCATCACCTCTCATTCTACCGGGAGCAGCTGTGCACCGCTCGTATTCTTAGTCCCGTGAGGATTAATGCACAGTCTGGGTCTTAAGTCGTATCCTTAAGCCTTAAGTTATCGCTGATGCAAGCATGCAACTACCACGTGCAAATCTTTGTTCACGCTGATGTAACCATTCAATTGCATAGAGACTTTTGGTCATGGGACGAATCTGTGTATTTCTATCACAGAACGTTGGAGATCGATCGAGAAATGGGCCTCGAAGCTGTGGTCTGCCAAGAGACGCATCGAAACCGATCAATATACAACCCGTATGTGACGGACTATGTTCTTCAAAGAGTACCTGAGTAGGTCTTCAAGCTATCACATCGCCCAAGGTCCTACTTAACCATCAAAACCTCGATAGACTTCGCCTCACTGGAGATTTCTCTCATTGGGTTCTGGTCTGTGAGCGATTATTGGACCGAGCAGAAGAAGATAGGGCTATCCTGAAGCGCGTTAGCGGTCATGTAAGTTTGCTCTGGCACCAGTTCTTTTAGCTCTAATTGCCATAGTAGCTGACAACTGGTTTTGCATCTTTCATTTCTAGGTTTACCACATACACACACGTATAGGTACTACCCAATCCAGCCAGTGTCCGGACCCCACGAACTTGGCCTTCAAGAAAGGAACTTTTTTGAGCAGCTCTGGCTGCGCATTATCGAATTGCGACAGCAAAGTGACAATGATGCAGTGATCACTTGGGTGCCAGAATACGGGTAAATCTACGCCTCATTGAGTCTTGTCGATTCGTAAGCTGATTGGTACCTCCACAGGCCGTTTCCATATCATCCATTGGGAGCAGCACAGAGCCATGGCGACTTAGCTGATAGCGAAGCACTTCGCTTGGAAAAATTGTTTCTAGACAGTTTTTTCACTTTAAAATTGGAGGTATCATGTTCGACTATCCCTGCGTCTCTTAAATTTGGCAGAGTTAAACTTTGGCACAAATATATCCAAGCTCAATGGTCGTGAACTACTAGCAATGCACAGCAAAATTACATCACGTACTTGCTTACAAACATGGATAAGGCCAAATTTTTCAGTGTTTAACGTGAGTGTGCGCACGACAGATTCTGATACTCGTGCCAGCATTATGTTATATAGGCAGAGAGAAGGATTGGTTGCTTAAATTATTTACCATGTATTGCAACAGTCTATGTACAAGATTAATTCAACAGTGTTTGTACTATAGATTTCTACAGTCCATCCCCGTCTTCATATACTTTCGCCCATCGCTAATGTACGGTCAGTTTCAGAGCCCCGCTGCAGTGGGTACTACAAGACTCACTGTGTCCCAAACTTTGCTCGTGTCAACAAATCTCAAATCTGTCCCAAGTCGAATTCGATTTTCCTTGTCGTAATTCATTGTGGATGCATGTATCTGCAAATCTAGTTAAATCATGTTGTTAGAAAGTCAGGACTGCTAGGTGTACTAACCATATAAGAGTTGTGTAGAACAACGTCCCCAGCCTCGTATGCTGAAACCAACCACCTTCGTTGATACTTTGTACCAAAACTAATGGGACCACTGTCCAGAACGCCACCCGACATCATGTTAGTGTTGAATGCGCTCCTCGCCTGTTCCTCGGTCATACCAGAGGATATAGCACTCTGAGTGAACTCATGCTCGATATGCTTCCCCAGTTCATGACCTGCCAACTAGCTTTAGTACGTGGCGCAAGAAGTTCCCAGGTATGGGAACGATTAGTAAAGCCGATCGCGAAAACATACCCTTCTCCAAATAGATCAAACCTCCGCCTTCCACTTCCACATCTCCGATGGGAATCCATGCAGTGATCACAGAATCGTCCCCATGACGCAGAAATATATAGTCGTAGTGCACACCGATGGCTTTGTTTCCAGGAACGTTGTTTCTGAGAAGAGTCCGGTCGAGACTGCCCGTATTCTTGCCCCAACCTGTAAGCTTTTCAACAAAGCTAATCATGGCAGGGTGCTTGCAGAAGTCATCCTTGTACCAAGACTGAGAATGTGACTGCAGGGCAAGTGTCATGAATTGGTCCGATAGAGCAGTACCAGTGCCTGGCTTTCCAGTGCCGAACCCAGGGTAATCACCAGGGTCTTTCGACGCGTCAAAGATACCATCCATCTCGGATGTCCCAGGCTTGAGAATGCCAGTAGGGGACAGCATGTCAAAATATCTTTCTCTCGTCCGTAGGACATCTTCGCGCGGCAGCAGTCCTTTGAGAAAGAGGTACCCATCTCTGGCTAGCGACTCACGCATTTCCGCAACAGATGCCGAATAAGGATCAGTAGGCTTCAGGAGACCAGTCATACCCAGTGGTAATTGGCCGTCATTGACATACAAGTCGGGAAGTTTTGGCGGCGTGCTGGATGGCATCGTGTCGCTCAGTGAGTGTATTTCTGGCATAAACGAATTTCCTGCTTCGGTGTTTTTGAGCAGTTGCGAAGTTTTGAAATCGAACCCAAGGTCATAAATTGATGCTAAGTTGTGAGAGTGAACTTCGTAGCTTCGTTCGTGAATGGCGCGAATGGCGTGAATGGCGTGTAGGCTTTCAGAACTAACCTTTTATCTTCGCAGGTGTTGTGTAGAGATAAATCTCACGGGGAGACTCGGTGGTAGCACCGTGGATGCTTGGCTTCTAACCATGCACGGCAATTTTCTCCTTTGCTCCGGTGATCGATGTGGCGGACAAAATTGCTGAATCTAGCTAGGGTCAAACTTATCTCCACAAAATCAGCCAAACTCAGTCGACTGGATTCGGGCGTTCGTTGAAAGGTCGGCTCTGGCTGGTGTCTTGGCTGCATCAAACTTGGGGGGAATGAAATCCGAGATCTTCATCTACGATGCGGGGAAGCTTGCAGCTGTCCTTAACGCGATCTCGATTCAATTGACAGTGGCCAATTACCCACCTACCAATCATATGTGAGCATTGCTGTGGGGACATGCGTGTGTCACATGACAGACGGGCAATCTCTGTCTATCTCTATTTGCGCTCCTCAATGATTCTCTTCGGCCTGGCTGGCCACGTACGATAGCGAAGAGAATCTGTCCTGCTTTGGGCTGGACTGATGGCCCGTTCTTGGTATTTGGTTCTCATGTTAACCCCAAGGCTCGATTCGCTTGCTGACTGCTTGAACCACAGCCACCGATGCCGCGTGCGGCATCAGCGATGTAAGAAAAACTCTCGACCGGGCTTTCCCCTAGTCCGGTCGACTTGCCTCTGGCACAAGGCTGAACGTATGATCCTTAGGCGATATCAGCTCCAACGACAGCTCGTGCTCCAGCTGTGAGAGAGCAGGCACGACCTGTCGAGGCGGCGGCCGTGATGAGCTGCAGATTCGCTTCAGCCAACTCGGGAAGAAGCCGCGCAATCGGTCGAGCAAACATTCTACTAAGACAAAGGTCCCGAAGTTACACGTGACCAAGGAGCCGGATACCTCCGTATCTAATGACAGCACCCAGGGTAGTGTTGCGCTCGGCCCTGCAGCTTCTGGAGACACCGGCAATCTGCTGCGCTCAGAACTGATAGACCTCATCACTCGTAAATCCAATCCTGGTAATGCCTTGCCGCCGACGAAACACGTATACGAAACGTCTTTGTCCAACCAAGACGCCGCCGTGGCCGAGGAAAGCAATCAAATAGCAGCTGATGACGTGATGATCAGAGCAGACGTGGCGGTCGAGTCACCGAATCCACGCCGTATCGAGTCGCATAATTACCAGGGCGAAGGTGACTATCCTGCCTTGGACCATACAGGTACAGGACTGCATACACACTTCTGTGTTGGGCCATTAAGGAATACTTCTGCTGTTACGAAGGAGAGCTCGAACCTACAAACTTTGTGGCCGTTGCAGACCCAAGAAGCGCAGTTAATCAAGTATTTTCTCACAGTCCTGGTCGGTTGGGTGAGCACATTACCCCTTTACGCTGACACCTTGTTGAAACTCATATACTAAACCAGGCAGTTCGATTATTGTGACCCTCACACAAGTTTCAAGACTCATGTGCAATCTGCCATCACGACAGATGCCACGATTCTGTACGCTGTATTGGCCATTTCTGCCAGGCATCGAGAACTCACAATGGGCATCGGAAATCATAAGTCTCATCTCTATGAGAGGCGCTGTCTAGAGGTGTTGATCCCTAGCTTGAACGACCAAACAACAGCCCTAGGGGATGGGTTTTTGGCGTCAGCGATGCTATTGCGACTTTTAGAGGAAATGACAGGTAAGAATTCCGAAAACCTTGTATCGTGTATCGCCACTGTAGCAGAGTGTTGATAACATGCCCAACGGCAACACTGCAATGCTATCATAAATTCATACTAACGAAAAGACTATAAGAGCCCGTACATTCTCACAGCATCGCTGTGCACGCGGTCTCAGCACCCGTCATCTTACGCATCAAGCAGGGCAACATTGAGACTAGCAGCTTCAGCCACGCAGCCATTATTGTCGCCCTCCGCCAAGAAATCTTCGTCGCGAACATGACCATGCGCCCGATTGTGGAGGGTATAATGGACTATTGTAATAACGACTGTAATGTGGCCACCGGCTCGAAGCCGAATTCCGAGGCCATCTGGACCCATCGAATAATTGTCCACGCCGCTCGAGTAACAAATTATACGTACACAAAAAAGCCCAAGGACGTTGCTGAGTGGGATCGGCTGCATCAATATCTACACGAGTGGAACACAAGTAAGCCTGCTTCTTTCGAGCCTATCAACCATGTCTTTGATAAGAACTTCCGTTTGCGGGTCGACGAAGACCAGTGGGGAGCCGGAGTGACAGAAAGCTCTGGTCATGCTCTCCCACTCATTTATTACTCTCACGACTGCCCTGTTGCTGCCCAGCAGTACCTGCAATTATGTCGCATATTGCTTTTGAGTCATGATCCTCGAGCACCACCAAGATTAGGTTTGGGGCGCGCTTGTTTAATACAAGCACAGGAAAATGAAATACGAAACTCGGTGCGAATCATTTGTGGCATCGCACAGTCAAATCCGGAATATATGCCGGCACGGTTGACTGTCGGCATGGTTATCGCCATGTGTGGCGAACTATTTAGCGATTCTACAGAAACAACTCAGCTTCTACGAATGGTGACTGAGGCAGAAATGCACCTGGGTTGGCCATGTTTGAAGGTCAGAGACCGACTCAAAAGTTTCTGGGATCTTTAGTAGTCACACAGCACTCTGCATCTAACCTTTCGGTCTTACGTAGTGCTGATACAATTTGCCTACGAAATGCTACATTTACATCTAGTCTGCGTAATAAACCTGTAGGGTCTCATGCGCTGTGCTGCAAGCTCGGGGCATTGCGGTGTTCGTTGATACGGAATCTTGGTGACGCAGGTCTAATACAGTAGTGCTACTATTCCTGCTGGGTAGTTCTCACGCATACAGCGGCTTGTGAACGCTAAATTGGCGTTGGATGTGAAGTCGAAGGGCTGGCTGGCCGTATCGGAGTTTTCTACCAAAAGAGGCACAACTGCCCTACATTCATGAGCTACTGTGTACTGCGTAGTACAGGGGGGCGGCCCGCCTCTTACCTAGTACGGAAATTCTTCCCTATGCCCGAGTCACTCAGTACAGTCTGATCCTGTCTCCACACCCAGCTTGCGGAGACCATACCGCCCAGAACCTGTACGAGAGCACAGCTGTTTATCACGCATGCGGCTTTCGCACTTGTGCTGTACCCAGAAATGCCGCATGAACAATAGACTAGTTCGACAGGTGACTAGTCGTATTTGAAAAACACTTATGAAAGCAGAAGCAGCGTTGAGCTTCGATTGCATCACGTTGCTGACATGGGCCAGGAGCTGGTGTCTAGCCGTATTCGCGCTCGCTTCAAAGGAGACCTGTAGAGCTGATATCTGATGATGCGGAGATACAATCGTGGTGAAAGACGTATCATAAGCCCTCTCACGAAAACTACCTGACGATAAGAAGAGTTAATGTTATGTACAAGACATCATCAATCTTCGCCGCATAGTTGGCTGACTGTCCGTAAAAATATGTCTCATATTTGCAGAAACTCAGCAAGAGGTAAATGGCGTTGGCGGTTTTGCCATGTTTTGCCATCATACCAACGAACATCCATCGAGGTTTGCCCCATTTGCGAAATTGAGCGTAACATGGTTCGGTATGCATTTAAGCTCTTTCTTTGATCCTCATGAAGAGACCTCCTTGAATGCCCTAGCAAATTTCTTACAGTCAGATGGATGATTCCAAGACGGAAGTAAAGTGGTAGCAAAAACATCAACTGTTACCATATTCATTGCAGCCAGTGGCTCATAGGTTTTAGACGTATCAGAGAGAATAACGTCAAACCTCTGAATTATCGCCGTACTGATGGAGATGCCTTCATAAGTAGCCAGAGCTCGTCCGAGGCAGCTCCGTGGTCCAGCGTTCCATGAATGGTACTCTGTAACTCGTTAACAGATGAGCCTCAACTTCGAAATTCCGTGCAATGATCATAAAAACGTACTGAAGGGACTATGAGAGATCCCTTTACCGTTTTCGTCGAACCATCTGAATGGATTGAAAACGTGAGCATCCTTCCCCCAGACTTCTGGCATCCGTGCCAGAACGTAGTTTTGATAGCTGACGATATCCCCTCTAAAATAATAGAAATGCAATTAGTTATTCCATTTTGTGTCAGAAAATTCTTCTGGCGGGGCTGTCAACGTACTTTTTAATCTTACGCGGAGGCATATTGAGCTCAGGCACCGCAGGCAGGACGTCGTCATTCTCGGCCTCCATCTGCCCTGCAGGCGAAACAGTATTGAGTCGAGAGGTCTCATCCCACATAGCATTCAAAAAACGCAATTTCTAATGGTCTATTAGCTTGGGGAGAGCGTGGGAACAACCAAATTCTCTCAGCGTAGGAGTAACATACTGATGCATTCCCGTAGGTTAGAAAGGCTGCGGTCGATTCCAGCTCCTTGGCTTCAGTACGGATTCTCTCCACAGCATTGAGTGACTTGTTGCTGTCGTGAAATATCTCCTTCATTAGCCACGAAGTCGAGTATGCGGTAGTGTCACCTGCGTATTGTTAGATCAACATTGGGCAGTGGAAACACCAACACTTACGGCCAGCAACCAAGAATGCAAACACCATGCCACCTAGTGAATATGGGTCATTCGTTGACTGGAGGAAAAGATCGAGAAGATCAACGCCATCTTCCGGATTGCGCGTGTATCCGTGGTCCAGTTTGTCTATGCGCTCTTTCACAAGACCGTCGATCTTTTCGTAGAACAGCTTCACCGCCCGTTTAGTGATCTTGTCTTCTCCCGAGAGACGCTCAGTAATCTTCCAGATGGGGTCGCGCCTTCGTCGATCGAACACTGTTATGATCCGTTGTATTAGCAATCTTTGGCTGAATATTATAAATTTATAGCCTGAAACAGATGATGTTGCAGCAAACCTAAACAAATATAACAGGAGTTATACGTACAGCTAGTGGCTTTATCGAAAGCGTCAACAAACTCAGGTATGGTTTTGAGACATTCAGGATTGGAGGACATGACGTCGAGAGTCAGGTTATCTTCGTGGAACGCAATCCGAAGAAAAAGACAAAATAAAAAGCGTCCCATGAGTTCTTGGAAGTCGAATTCGATCTGGGCTTTTGCTAAATTGGATAGTAGAGCCATAAGAATTTCGAGCCAGTAGTGCACAGATTTCGTGATGTGATTTTCAAAATTCTGCTTGGTAAAAGCTCTAGTCGCAGTTTTGCGCTGCATCTGCCACTGCTTGCCGTCAGAGACGAAGATACCTGTTCTGTGAAGTTCTCCGAAAACGTTGCGGGTAAATGCTCCGCGTATGTAATTTTTGCTGTTAGTCTTCTGGATATGCTCGAGATACGCAGGATGATTGATAATGTGGAGGCGGAAGAACGGGATGGTCATCTCGTATGCTGGCCCATAACGCTTGTAAAGAGAATACCAGGCCTTGCACCCGGCAGCGCCTTTGATCTGCAATTCATATGCGCTGCCCGTGAACAGTTTTCCTTGAGGACCAGGGATAAATTTCTTATTTGCTGAGCGCGACGCGAAGATGCCTCGAGTCCGGTAAGTCCAGCAGAATCCTGTACTGAAGTGAGCGACCAGTCTAAAGAAAATGAACGTGATCAATAGGGTGATTCCTTTACCTAAAATAAAGACTATGGCCAAAAACAAGGCACAAATGGCCGTTAGGCCCGGTTGCGGCATCCAACACTCGATTGAATTATACATTATGGAGTGGCATTTGTTGGCATAGACAAGTAAATATAATAGACGCGAACAAAAGCTTTCGTGGTTTGGGAACAAAACGATTTTAATATTCATCTCTAAATGGTCCGTCACAAGCTGCAATTTACTGGCACTCGATCACATGAATACGACACTCCGATGCTCGGTCTATCCCGAGTGGCTTATGTTGTTTACTGCACGGAAACCTGATCGGAGATGTAACGTCATCGCCCTCCATTGTGTTCCCAACACATTTATGATTGTGGATTTAGCGTATTGAAAGGCAAGTCAACTATGACACGTTTGAAGTTGCACCGACTTCGTTACACTAGGTGATAGAGGAAAATCGCGTGATTTGGTTGACGAACGTAGGTTCAGACCAATCCAAAACTCTATACAGGGACGGTTTGATGCATGTTCTTCAGTCACTAGCAAAGCGGGATCAACATGGATTCAGGCTTGGCTTCCGACTCTATCGCCGCTCCCACATCCGACTCCGACTCCGATCCGCTTCCGATCCGCCGAGAGATCCACTCCACCCCAGAACCCCAGAGTTTATCTACTAGCCCCTAATTTGTTTGCGGAGATCATACGTTTAGGAAGCCATGTCGCCAATATCGATGACTTTGATAAAAGCTCGTACCCCAGGCCTATTCACAGCCTTGAACTCATCAGCTTCTTCGATAATTTTCTTCGCAGCACGACTACACCGTAATCACACAAATGTCAAAAATCCAAAAGAAACATGTCCTTAGCGCGGCCTCCGCGGAAGATCTAGCTCATGTTGAGAATCGAGAAAATATACCAGCCTGTCTTTGGTCAACAAGCTCCGTCGAAACCAGGCAACTAGAAAAGAGATTGGTCCAAAAGATTGACATTCGACTGATGCCAGCTATCATCGTAATGGTGCGTGATACGATTTTGGTTTTTTTGTTGTTAGAGTCTGGGAATAATAAAACGGTGATACTCAGTACCTTCTTAATTATATCGATCGCAACAATATTGCATCGGCTCGACTAGGCGGGGTTATTGAAGATCTGGATCTCCGAGGCTCCCAATACCAAACATGTGGGTAAAATCAAGTCTTTCCAACAAGTACAATCAATTGAGAGAGAACTTAGGTGTATCTATCCTCTTCGTAGGGTATATTCTCATGCAAGTGCCAAGTAATCTTGTCCTCAATAGGCTCGGAAAACCGTCAATCTACCTTCCCTGCGTTATGATTGCCTGGGGAACCATTTCTGCCGCAACCGCAGGAGCCCAAGGATATGGGGGCCTCTTGGCGACGCGATTCTTTCTTGGCTTTGTTGAGGCTCCTTCTTTCCCAGGTTGTTTGTTTTATCTCAGCCTTTGGTATACGAGAAAAGAGTTAGCCTTCAGGATTTCCTTGCTCTATTCCGGCTCGACTATCGCTGGTGCATTCTCCGGCCTTATTGGCGCAGGAGTGATTGGGGGTCTCGATGGCACCAAGGGCCTCAGAGCGTGGAGGTGGCTATTTATTATTGAAGGCGCCGCTACAGTGGCCGTCGCTGTGTGTGCCATGTTCCTACTCGCGGATTTGCCATCGAGTACAAAGTGGCTGTCGGAGGAAGAGAAAACGTACGCTTCGTGGCGTTTGGTGCATGAAACTGGTGGAAGGACCAAGATGAGGGCCCTGGGCAGCATTTTTGGGACGGTTTATTCATGGCTGTCAAAGATATCAAGACATGGATTCTGGTATATACATACTGACCTGGCACCTCCCTTGGAAGTTTATTCGCTAACTTTATCAGATGTTTCTCCTCTTTTTCATAATATTTGCTGCTTCGATCACCAACTTCTTCCCGTCTGTCGTTGAAACCTTGGGATACGGCAAGGTCAGGTCTCTTTTCCTGACTGTTCCACCTTACGCTATAGCAACTGTCCTGTCATGTCTCAACGCATGGCATTCCGACCGTGTAGCTGAACGTTACTGGCACATTACTATTCCATTATGCTTTGCCGTCACTGGCTTCATTATTGCAGCCACGACCGAGTCAGTTGCACCTCGGTATTTGAGCATGATCCTAATGCTCTCCGGTTTATACCCTGGGTTTGTCATCGCCTTAGGATGGATCTCAAGCACAGTGAGGAGGCCTCTGGCAAAACGAGCTGCGGCCATGGCTCTCATTACTGCGTTTGGAAACTCCAGCAGTATCTACGCGAGCTTTATGTTCCAAAGCCAGATGGCGCCCCGGTATGTGCTGGCAATGAGTGTTTGCAGTGGCGCCATCGTTCTTGCACTAGGTTGCACCACGGTACTCAGATTCGTGCTTGTTCATCACAACAAGAGAACAGAAGGCACTGGGGCAGCGGGCGGTCCCGCGGTCGATTTCAAATTTCCCATATAGACTGAGCACAGCTTCTGATTGTTTCAGAGTCCTGGTCCGGCACGCCTGGGGCTGGTTCGGTGGTCATTGGTCCGATCCTGGGTTACATGATTTCACAACAGCAAGAATGTGGCGGATGATGATAGAGATCATTTCTAGATAAACTTGTTATCAATGTACGCATAATTAGCTATTCCTGATGAACTCTAAGCGTACACCGGTGGGTGCACTCACGATGTGAGTTTCCTCCAACTAATGACTATCAAGTATTGATCAATCAACCTTCTGTGATGCAGTACAGGTATCGCTCTGCCCACTGCACTAGCAGACCAAAAGAAGAAACTTCGTATAACAGTCAGGCTATATATAGCGCGATAGAAGGCAATCCGATATATGGCAATGTCCGCTTCACTGACATCTCGCCACGTCTGCCGCTGGTCGTTCACGCGCTCAATTTTCGAGTATCAACAACAGTGGAATTCGTCCACACAGATATCCTCACTTGGGTAACAGACATTGTTCTAGGTTACATGGATTGGGTAGTACTTAGAATGCCGAAAGTAGAGCTCCACAATAAGCTGCCCAGATATTGACTAGGTGGTTAGGCGGTTATGTACAGCAGGTATCGCGTCATGCATGCGCCCCACGTAGGCTGGGCCCACGGACGGAATGGATTCCCCCACAGACGGCTCGTTGAAAAGATTGATCTGCTACATATTCGACCTAACCCAGTAGGCTACATGTATTTTGCTGCACTTTTCTTCCATCCCCACGAGTCCTGCGCCTTCTCGTCCGTACGCTGTGTAATGTAGCGGAAACACAATTGCCCAAGCAGCCTCCTACCGCAGCGGTGTCTTCCGGAGTGCAAACCATGAAATGCTATCACACAGGGGTAGGCGCAGCGCATGCGATGCTTGTAGAAAGCACAAAAAGCGCTGCTCAAAGGTTTGGCCCTGCACGCATTGTTGCCGACTCAACAAGCGGTGCCTGATGCCGCCTGTAATTGAGAATCCTGGGACTGCGTCCGGTGGTCCCTTTCCTGTGCGTACATACTCTACAGTTTAGGCACAGTGTTCTATCCTTGCCATCGCTACCTAGCTATAATCACTAATCTGATTTCTCGACAATTTAGGATGGATCGCATTGTGGCACAGTCACTCTCGCAAATCATCCACCCTCTAATTCGGCCACTCGTGCAGACCACAGCCTCGAGCCCACCGAGGGCATTGCTCGCCACCGTATAGATGCTCACTCTATATCAGACTCCGTTCTTGCTGCTAGAAGGACGGGGCAGTCGTCTCAGGCAGTTGACGGCGAACCACAGCGATCGCGCTATGAGGATCAAGACCTCTGTAGGACAACTTTCACAAACAGTCTACTTGAACCGTCGTTTCCATACTCTTGGTTAGACCAGGCGCGCCTACGATTAGGCGCTGGGGACACACGCCATGCCGAACAACATCCGGCTAGCGAAAACGTGGAGGCCAACATATTCTCGTACGGAGATGCCGTCTCTTGCGCAAATGAGAGCGTGGATAAGGCGTCCTTGCCTTTCAACCAGCTTCCCTGGGAGTTTATCTCGCATCTCGTTGATGTCTACGTCGAGAAGGCGATGGTAACCTACCATTTCCTCCATATCCCTACCATCAGGTCATGGCTAAGACAGCTCCATACTACGCAAAACTGCGATCTCGCACCGCAAAAGCGATGCATTGCTTTGCTCGTTCTTTCGCATGGAGGAAGTCACCTTTCCCAAAGAGAGCTTGCGCAACTTGGTCTACCAAAAGGCTTGGTAGCCAGCGATCACCTTTATAAAATGGCAATGAACCACTTGGATTGTGAAAGGGGTCGACCAACTATAGAGTCAGTTCAAGCAAGACTGATACAAGTACATCACCTCCTCGGATGTTCGCGACCCAACCAGGCCTGGTTTACATTTGGGACCGTGGTACAATTGGTGTGGGCGCTTAATTTTCACCGACCTTCACATTCTAATGAAAGATCGCTACACCAGCAACTAGTATCGCGTACCTTTTGGTGCGTATATGCCACGGACAAGTATATCAGTACTGCGATGAGTCGTCCTACCCTCGTCAATGATGACTGGTCTGCACAACGACTTCCCCTGGAACTTGACGATGAAACACTAACTGAAGAGGCTCAGTTGACGAGGGAGGCAACAGATTGCTGGTTGAGTGCCACCTTGCATCACATTTTCCTCTCGAAAATAGTAGCCAATGCCATCACTGCGCAGAGGCAGACAAATCAAAGCATGCTTTTCGAGACCATCTCAAGGAACCAACGTGCACTCGAGACATGGCAGTCGTCTTTGCCGCCACATCTATCAGGACATGTGAGGCCATCGAGTCTCATTCCCAAATTTCAGCGTCAAGCTATCTGTGTTCGGACGTTCTACCTGCATGCCATGATTATGGTCAATAGGCCACTGTTGTTGCGTCCTCTGCGTCCTCAAACTAGTCAAGTAGAAGATGACGCATTGCAGGCCTCAAGAACAGCTTGCCTTGGCGCGTCGGAAAAACTCGCACGTCAGTTCATTGACTTCCACAGACAAGGGCAACAGGCAACTACGTATTGGTTCACCCAGAACGTAACCTTCAACGCGATATCCATCCTGTACATTCATTGCCTTCAGACATTACATTCGCCTCTTCCCTTCGATGATGGCGAGGTGGGGATGTTGACTCTTGCTCAAGAAGCTCATTCCAGTTTGCAAGCCTATTCTCAACATAACGCAGCCAATTTCAAGTATTGTGCTTTACTTGATGAACTACAGAAGGAGGCCACGGCCTTGGTGGGGTCAAGATCTTTAACAATCGCGTCTACTCTGGGTATGACTTCTTCGCCTGAAGCATCATCATCGCGGGACCAACTTGAGCAAGGGATGGAAAACCCCTTTTTCACTTCAAAGGTGAATGCAGCACCTCATCTGCCACGTGCTGTGGAATTTGATGATATCTTGTGGAGTTGGTTTGACGAGTTCCAATTGCAGGAGAGAAATGGATATCTAGGAGACATTGGGGGAGACGCTCCGCAGTAATCGATAAAATTGTGGATAAAGCTCTACCATGCACACGGTGCCCATCGAGTCCAGAATCAGAATGCCCCATGCGGTGAAATGGTTGAGTGCCATTTGTGTGAAGATTGAAGGACGCTGGGACGACCCGCGTGCAAGAGATGCCGCAGTTAGCAAGTTGTAACAATTATTGTCAGATGTGGTGTGCTATAAAAGTGTTATAGCACATCAGGGGGGTGTGCGGCAGCACACCATGGAACCCCCGGGGAATACCCCGTACCACCAAAATAAGCACGCAAAGCGTATCACCTAGTTAGGATAGAACATGCATTAATACATCACTCAATTTGCTCCTGAACAGACCGATATAGTTCCCCTACATTTGACAATTACCGTGTCACAAGCTATCGAGAAAACAGGCCACTTTCACCAAGGTAGACATCTCCTGTGGCCGCTGGATTGGTTCTCAGATCGATGACGACTAAGGAATTCCCGGTGTTCTATATTTTTTTGTTCCCCTTTTGCACACAATTTTTGCACCTTGAAATAGCGCTGATGGCCAAATGAAAGTAAAGGGGTCGGGGAGCCTCAAGGCTTTTGCCCCCGGGATCAGCTCCACTTACCGGCACCTAAGCCAGCACTAGGAAACGGGTGGAATTGGTCTTTAATTCCACCAGTTATGTAGTAAAAATGCAAAGGTGGCACCACGTCCCGTCCCTTGCCAAGTTTGGTTGCTGGTTTGATATCGGGTTGCTCAAAGTCGAAAATTGTCGACGGAAAATGCTAGGCCATGTAGTGCGGGCATCTCTATTAATAACCTCGCATTTTAGCCTAAAACTGGAGGGGGACTGCCTGCCTGCTACATACCGAAATATTCAGGTAAGGTACAGATTACCGCCGACAGGAAGATAACCTGGGTAGAGGTGCCTTACCGCGCGTGCAGCAACTTACTTTAGGTGGTTTTGGGATACAGCCAGCCAGGGTTTCTGGCAGCGATCCAGCGAGGCACCTAGTACTAGAGCCATGCTGCTTGCTGGGGCTTCTCGCAGATAGATTATGCTTGCATACAAGGTACCGAAAAGTGACTAACGTGAAGCTACACCTACATAATACGTCGATCCTTCTCTCCAGCGACGTGACGAGCAGAGAAGCGCAATACACCACAGCAGGCCGCGAACCATGGCCGACCTCGAATTGATGAGGTGCGGAGTCATAGCCGACTTCGAATTGAGGTGATGCTCCGCCTGTTCTTGTCGAAGTCGTCGTGCCGTATCGGAGTCAGCGGCATTGGGAGATTCTGTTGTTCTTAAGGACCGCCTTTTTCGAACATAAATAGATGTGCCTAAGCGATGCCAAAACGCTACAACAATCTGCAAAACACCCTCCCACTCCACTCTGATCCTCTTGGCCTTCTCACGTATTCCATTCCAACGTTCGCATTACCACCCTCTCAATATGGTTGCCTTCTACAGCGTGACTCTTGGCCTCTTGGCTGCTGCCCGTGCCCTAGCGGGTCCCACGGCGGAGACTGCCGAGGTGCTCCCTGCCCACGTGGAGCGGCGTGGTCCTCACAATTTCGTCCTTGGCCCAGACCACCCCCTGATGCTCGCGCGACGCAATGTCTCAGCCCTCGAAGGCCGTAGTACCAACTATGTGCAAGATTATATCACGGGCGGCACCGTCGACTTCACCCATTCCAGCGGGGAGTTCTCTCTCTCCTTTGACACCACCGAGGATTTCGTCGTAGGCGTTGGCTGGAGCCCCGGCAGCACCTCGTGAGTTCCTGCCGCCATGTCTTCCATTGTCTTTCGACTTATGTGACGCAATTTTGACTGACGCATTTTCTCTTTCTCTTGCCCGCAGTCCCATTACTTATAGCGGCTCTTTCAGTGTCACTAAAGGCTTGGGCACCTTGTCCGTCTACGGATGGACTGAGAATCCGCTTGTAGAGTATTATGTCATCGAGGACTCGAGCGGCTTCACGCAGACCGGCACCCAGAAGGGCACCGTCACCACCGACAGTGGGACCTACGAGATCTGGGAGAACCAGCGCGTCAACGAGCCGTCCATCGTGGGCACCAGCACCTTTAACCAGTATATTTCCGTACGCCAGAGTGGACGTACCAGCGGCACTGTCACGATCGAGAACCACTTCAACGCCTGGAAGAACGTTGGTCTCAACCTCGGCACACTAAACTTCCAGGTCATCGCCGTGGAAAGCTGGAACGGTGCTGGCTCTGCTAAGCAGTCCGTCTCAAACTGATGGACCAATCTGGAACTCCCCTCCCAGCAAAGCCAATGGCAACGACCCAGTTTTGTGTACGCGGCAGTGTTATGGTCAGAGAGTGTTTGGCGCTTTGCTGTGTCAGTGATCTACCTGGTAGGTGCTTATACTCTGTAGAATGAGGATCGAAACATCTAGGCATAAGATCAGCACTGGGGGTACATTTGTTTCCACAGACTTGGAGTCTGGCACAATCTTTCAATTCTTGCTTGATATTTACGTTTTGTTGTTTTTAAAGTTGATAATTTATCCTTTTTGGTAGTTACCCGATAAGCTAAAGAGTCCGACGAGCCTGGAGAAAACGAGGCTTTACAATGGATCTTTCAATGAAGTAAAACCTGAAGTTCTCCCCCCCCCTTTCGGCGGTGTGGTAGTGATTGGTCACATTGCTTTCTTCTTCCAAGAAAATCCCTATACCATTGACGTTACTCCACCAATGACTGAAAAGCTTCACTGATGCAAAGAAATTGACGCGGAGTTTCGCCCTCCTGGTTTATATCATAACAAGAGCACCAGTCGTGATTGGTGCGCGTCATGTAGTCTCCTTTCTTCACTCCGCTGCTTCTATATAAGAAGATTTTCATTACGAACATGGGGGAGAACATTAGAAAGCTCGAGACAGCATCTACAGGTGGTCTGAACAGCTGCTCGCATCGTATGGTTCAACAATGTTGCTCCCAAGCGTCGTTACAGCTCTTCTTGGGGGCTTTGCCACGGCATGGCCTGCTTCTCACGTCAATCAGCCACGGCAGAGCTCAACCTTTACCAATCCCGTCGTCTATGAAGATCTTCCAGATCTAGACGTCTTCCGGGTTGGAGATGTGTACTACTACTCCACCTCTACATTCGCATATTCCCCTGGCGCGCCATTGTACAAGTCCTATGACTTGGTGAACTGGGCACCCGTCACGCACAGCGTACCAACGCTCGACTTTGGCGACGACTATAACCTACCCAACGCCGACAACCGCGCCTACGTCAAGGGCATCTGGGCCAGCAGCGTCCGCTACCGCGCGTCCACCGACACCTTCTACTGGATTGGCTGCATCGAGTTCTCCAAGACGTACGTCTACACCTCGTCTGGCAGCAACGCCGGAAATAACAGCGGCGAGGCCGACTCGTGGAATTGGCAACAGGCTGCCGTCATTGACACCTGCTACTACGACTGCGGCCTCTTCATCGACGACGACGACACCATGTACGTCGTGTACGGCAACACCAACATCAACGTTGCCCAGCTGTCGAGCGACGGCCTCGCACAGGTCAGTACGCAGCAGGTCTTCACCAGCGGCAGCACCGCCGTCGAGGGCAGCCACTTGTACAAGATCAATGGCTACTACTGGATCGTGCCGACGCAGCCCGCTACGGCCGAGTGGATGTACCGATCAGCGAGCATCTACGGCCCGTACGAGCAGCGCGTGCTGGTCAGCTCCATCACCGCGCCCCTCGCCCACACCGGGTCCCCTCACCAGGGAGGCTTCGTCGAGACGCAGGACGGCGACTGGTACTATGTCTCCTTCCTGGACTCGTACCCGGAAAGAAATCGTGTATTGGCATCAGAACTGATGGCGACGAAGGATAATTACAGAGCTTCTCAGCAGGAGACTCGGTCGTGGAAGCAAAAGGCACAAGATGCAGAACAAACACTAAGCATATATTCTAATGGAATCACGAAGATGTTTGGTGTATTGCAAAGTCTTCAGGTTTCTGATGAAATCAGTCGACATGACAAGATAAGCACCTGACTGGGACAAGATCCAATGAGATGCGACACATCCATCTCAAATCAACGACTATGTGCGACCGCCGAGAATCGTCGAATAATCAAGGACATTGCAAAGGGCTCCCGTTGATCCTTTTTGTCATTTCGGTCCAAGAGAATGCAATGTTATGCGTCTGTACGAGAAAGCCGGTTCGCATTCCACAAGATCATTCGAGCTGAAAATCAAGTTCCTTTAGTACAACATCCTTCGCTAGGTATGGTTGGGCGTGCTTTCGGATTTCATCACGAAGCTTCCCAGATCCCGACACTAGTTCGTACTTGGTGAGCTCGATTCAGTTTTCATACGTGACTCGAGCGGCAACTTACCAAGAATAAGCATTGCGCTCTCATCTACATCTTCCTTTTGGTCTTCGTCCCCCAGTTCTACAGCACTGTGCTTCTTGCGGACTACTGGCTCCCAAAAGTTCTTTGATACTACTTTACTGATGAGTCGCTTCATATCTGGAGCGTGATTATATATACTAATGCGATAATCGGAAGGACGGCTTATGAGCTCCTGTTCGAAAAAGATCGAAATCGTAAACATCTAGATTAACAAGTTTAGTTAAATGGACTATTGGCGGTCGAGATATGACAGGGGCAATGGAAAAACTAACATAGCTTTGATCCTCCTCCAAGTTGTAGTTCAAGAATTTCAGGAGCGAATGGATATGATCTGACAACGGTGAGTATGGATCCGGCACCGGTCTGCTGCTTGAACTTACCGAGTTCTCTCGTGTGCCACACCAGGTGGACTCGTCTTGTGCACCCCTTTCGGCGCCGATATCCATGCACTAATTTGGTCAAATATGGAAGCAAGGCGACGATGCCGAAATCATTTGCAACCAATAGCACGCCTCTGTAATCCCAAACAGGAATGGTTCGTCCATAAGGTCCGCTGACGAAAGCAAGTCTCTCCTGACTAGGTGGCTCCTGGCTAATAGCACCGGCATTCAGACACAGATACCTCGACGCGGCTGTATGACAAGACCGAGCTTGTCCTTTGCAACACTCGACCAGGAAGCCACTGTAAATGGATGCATCTGGAGAAAAGACGAGAAATTGATACTCGGATTCACACCAGGATATATTGGCCAGCATCGACCTTGAGTGGTCTAGGTAGCCGTACCTCCATGTGCACTAATCCATGCGCCTCTCTGATGAGAACTCTAGTGAATCGACGTCCCATCTTCTTATTGCGAAAGACCATGAGGCAAAAACGGGCGACAAATATCGCCAGCGAAGCTGCCAAGTATCCGATCGCAGATTGAAATTGTAAATTTGAAGTTGGCAGCAGATGCCGAATAATGCTAATGATTGCAGCAATCGCCAAGATCTGATGTGCCTTGAGAAAGATCTCATAGTAGCGGCGCTGCAAAAACGGGAACGATAGAATAGCGAGGATAAGAAGTGACGCGGCGCCCTGTTCCAACATCAGCAAATTGTTAGAGTGATCACAGTGTTGGTGGCTCTTGATTCGTTGCTCTTGATTCGTTGCTCTTGATTCGTTGTTGTGGAAGAAATCAAGCCGTATATATTGATATTTCCTTGGTTACAGTATTTTTCTGATGAATGGAGTGATGATCTGATGATGCGGAACGCACGTTTCAGTGTATCGTACATAGAGACTGAAATGAAGTTGAGGCGCCTCCATAAGTGAAACAAGTGGCAGTGGAACACCAAAACGATCCAAAGAGCTAGTAGTGTACCGCACAATCTCATTTGGGGTTAGGTATCCACGACAACTCCACTAGTGGACTTTATCGACGGTTTTGGCTTCATTGACTGCAAAAGATGTTTTGTGCTACAGTATGTATGTATGTATATTCTCATTCTGATCAGTGACAAAACTGCAACCCCTTTTGGCGGAGGTAGCATCAACTGTGCTTTAGCACAGATTAGTTCTGGTACATAGCTCGGGTCGACATAGTGGAGTGAGCATTAGACTGAGTACTGCACTGTATTGATACTGTAGTGCACTCGCAGGCTTTGTGAGAATTTCACAATAGTTGATGCCGTAGATACTGTATTGACAAAACGGTTTTGACATGCTTCCAGATAACTATCATTGGATGTTCTATTTCGAACCTGTGATAAAATAATAGGTCTCAGCTTTGCAATGGCTTCCGGCTAGCACTAGTCGTATCGCTATTGCTTATATATAAGCGGGCACTTCTCGCATTCTGTAAATAGAATTCTCCATGCAGTTCTCCTCAACATGTTCCATATAACATGGACATCGACACTTGTCTCGCACAAATAGCCATCTTCGTGCGCGCCTATTTTGCTATCAGATCTTCTTCGTCTGAACGACTGTCCCGCCAGTCTCCAACTATACAAACGCAATGCCATGAGACGCCAAGTCTGAAGCAAGTCATGTGGCAATGTCGCCGAGACTTGCGCAATGTCACGTCACACGTGTACCACGAGGTGCAATCCATCATAACACGCAATGATGACAAGACCCGGTCCGAATGTACTGTGTGTCACGATGAAGTTGAGGAAATGCTTGCTCTAGTTTATGCGGAATGCAGATGTGTTAGTTGCCCACCCCGCCACTAAGAAGACCGTTCTGACTCTGAATGGCAGGTTACTTGTTACAACTGCACATGGAGGAAGAAATACAGGTTCTGTCGGAATGAAGATCACGCTGTTTGCCATGGGTTACAAAGACTAAACAGCTTTGGACATTCGACCGAGTGATTGAGAGTGGGTGAAGTACGAGGTCACAGATCAAGAAGGTGCCGGTGACTTTACCTGAATACGATACGTTGACGCTATCGGTCTCCGTGTTCACATCTGAAGGCCGGAGCTAGAGTCTCAAATACCCCAGTTATCGAATACTATAGCATAATTAGTCTACACCTCTTTAGTGATGTATGGCGTTGTTAGCCACTACGAGCCTAACACGAATGCTATACTGGCATATGTGCAGCAAACATTGTAATACTTGGAACTTTGCAGAGTCAATAGACTTTGAGCAGCTAACTAACAACTTGCAATCGAAAAGAATAGCGGAAGCCAATTCTGTTACCTATTGCCACGGTCCACCATGGCGATTTCTCTGTCCGAGGATGGAATCTGACGTAAGATAATAGTTCCTGAACCCGCATTCATATCTGTACAGAGCAGTACATTTCTTAGACAGATCGCAATTGTGGACCCCACGGACATCATATCGCAACTCAGATACATCTGACGCGGTGGCGTTGACGAATGATCGTACTGCAAGTTGCTTTCGATTTCAAGCGCATTTAGTTTCGCATTGGATAGCTATATATTCGCAATTGAGCAAACAATGTTCTTGTAATGACACATGGAACAACTTCGATGACTGAATGAGAATGCTCTATCCAGATGAGCCTAAATTGTATGCCCAGGTACAATGATTCCGGAGCAGCTATAGTCCATTTCACTTGGCTTTGCTAATAGCAATCTTGAGGCTCTCTATTCCCTCCTGAATCTGGCTGAGCGCTGCAATGATCTGGACTACGTTCTGGGATGGCTCGTCATTGTTGTCATCTCGAAAGGAAGAGAGGCTCTGTCCAACATGCCTGAACGATGTCATATTATTTTGTTTAGTATTGTTGCCGTTGTCGTTGTCGTTGTCGTCGGCCAATGCCTTCCTACCCCACACATCCAGGATATGCGGCTCCGGTAACACCGCTGAACCATCTGAGCCCACTGTCTCAGGCTCTGCGACGCCTGCATCCGAAGTTCCGTCCGGTTCGTCCGATGCTGGCAATAGTTATCAGTATAATAACCCTGGTAACTACTCTTCATTGTTACTTACTATAAGAACTCAGGGTGTCTGGCGAAGGGCATAGAGAACGTTTACGTCGTGTCCTTGTTCTACCTCGAAAGGCCATCATGTGTGTGTGTTCAGAGAGGTTTGACGAGGAACTAACAGTTGTCGAAAGTGAAAGCGTGATGAACATGACGAGGAATGTCAAATATATGTATTTAGAGGCTTTACAAGCTCCACAACGCGTAGAAGATGAGGCCGAGTAGAGTATCTCTTGGATTTAGATTTGGAGCTAGGCGTGGTTGACAATCGTGTTCATGATCCAAAATAGACTCCGCACGATTCATTGATGCGAATCATCACGACAATGGAATGGGCCAAGTTCGTACCAACACGGAAGCGTATCCCAACACACAACAGTATCCCACATAGAAGAGTATCGCAGTACCCCAAAATTGTATCAAAGTACAGAAGAGTATCCTGGAGTCTATAGAATCGATTGAGCACAGACTCAAAGCCTAGATCCTGTAATAGATGTGCTACAGTGCCTTGAAGGCCTGGGAGGTCCTAGTATCGATAAACAGGAAAATAATATGGTGACACATTCTGCATTACGATTCATGATTCGGCCAGCGCGGCGGTTATTCCGCTACGATATTGCATCGCTTTTGTTTGGGCCGGGACTAGCAATTTGCCACATCAGATAGGTATGGCGATGCGCATGGTCCACTCCCTTGAGAAAGTATGCATGATTCCCTTCCAAGGTACAATACGGGGTGGATGGCTACACTTACTAGGGGCAGGACCTGAAAACAAGCTACATGGGGTGTCTGTCAAATTCATGCTATTGGGCCCTTGGCGAGTAAACTCTAGCTACGTATAAAGAATAGAGAACAGGGAAGGATGAACAAATCAAACGATCTGCAAACTAGGCAGCTGACCAAAGTCAAAGAGGAATGGCTATTAGGAATGACTGAAAACGTAAAAAAAGAAAAGAAATAGAGAAAAAAAGTGATGAGAACAGGCAAATTCCAAGCAAAGCAAATAGTATACATGGGGCAGCACATCAAACAACCAGATTCGGGAACTCCTCAAGCTTCCGTACGCCGATGTTTTTTCCCACGCCTTTCTTGCTCGCTTGTATTGCTCCTCTTCTTGTGGTTCGGACTTCCAAAGTATGCTCCAAGATGTTGTTGTGTGAACAATTTTTCAAGCGTGAATGGAGAACCACTGATATGACATCCCTGGTCATCGTCTTCGCACAGTCGGATTGCAAATGGTTCGTTTCTATTGGCCACGGCGAACCTCACGTTCATAGTGAAAGGCGCCATATTATTCTCCGATGAGCCGGAGTTGCTCCTGCTAGAAATGCTAACCGTTCTATTGCCGATTCGAAAGAAAGCTGACCGATCTATAAACTGAGAGACAAAGGCCCGCAGCCCGTCATTTGACGCTCTCAGTCGACAAATTATACGGCCTGAGCATTCGATTTCACCATTTCGGAACCGAGCACCATGCAAGGGGTCCAGCTCGAATACAAAAAGCTCAGCCCGAATGCGGTGGACCAGTTTCGACAGCATCGGAGAATCCTGGATAGTTTCGCGCGCGAGACGACCGATATGTTCCATCTCCGCAACACTATCCAGGGCGGGAGGACGTCCATCGTACTCGACATCGAAACGAAACAAGACATTGCTGGGGTCATCTTTAGTATGGTCAACAAGCTGTTGCCACGCTCTCTTTGAATCCCCGCTACTCCAAAAGGCTCGATAGACGCGTGCAGGAAATGAATCCCGAAGAAAATGTCTTTCGTTCGTGGCCGGAGGGGGGTTCGATGGCGTCGACGAGCCCGTTCCCAAGGATACGACGAGCCCGGGTTCCGATGCATCGGGGAATAGAGCTGCTACTTCCCTTACGGCTTTAGATGCAGGATTATTGAACATCAGACCACCGTCCTGAAATGTTCCCACGTCTGGAATGTGTTTCACCTTGAAATAGCTACCAAACGTCAGCTTGACCAAAGACTCAGTATGAATGTAATATCAAAACAACAACGGTTTAATTCACGTACTAAGGAGCAGCTGTACTACACCGCACGCTAGAACGATATTAGCCTTTTACTTTTACTTTTTGTGACTGTGGTTGCAATATCATCCTACATTTCCCAGAGCGGGATTCGGCTTAGGCCGTTCTTCGGGGACAGCACCTGGTAGTCTTGAATAATATGTTAACATGGCGCTTTAGAGAGAGATATAGGACGAAGAAGAGAAGCTATAGGAAAAAAGTGAAACGGAGGGGAAGAAACGAAAAAAAAAAAAAAAAGTAAAAAAAACTAGGGGTTACCTGTATCATGCCGTCGCTCTCCAGCACCATTATAGCTTGTGAAGACACAGGCACGTGCGTCACGGATGGTAGTCACCGTAATTCCAAGTTTGGTACCTCGAGCTGCCCCGCTGGTACAATCCATGAGACTGCGTGTCCCCATGACGTCTTGCAAGATTGTTTCCAAGTTCTTGCTCGAGTATCGGCTGTCGGCCAGCAGGGAAGCCACCATCTGTAAGACGGCAGACAAGAACGGCACCTTCAACCACCACCACCGCGGCTGGAAAGCTACGCGCGCGAACATATCGAAGTACTCGGTGCATTCCTCGATGCTCCAGTCCAGCGCATATAAAACGGCGGCTATAATTGCACCAGAGCTGGTGCCATATATGAAGTCAAAATTGTGTTGTACCGGCGTTGGCAGCTGCAGTCGGTCCTGAAGCGTCTGAAGAAATGCAAGTGGCGCTCGGCCCCGCGTTCCTCCACCATCAATACTGAGGACCCGGATGCTCGCCGTCGGCGGCTTGACACCAATGATTGCCCCGCTATCTTCTTGACTGCAGAGAGGACACGTTCTCACGACGAATGTCCAAGGCATATCGTCCTCGTTCTTGCCAAACACCTGAACACAGTTCTCACACAGACTATGACTACAGGGCAAGCAATACTGCGGTCGCCGTCGCAAGCAACACAAACATACGTCGTCGGATCGCATTTGAACCCACCTATGCCGAAAGCAGTTCATCATGGTTCGGTGATGTGCAACAGCCGATACCGATCTCCTGTATTGTTTATATTGTTTGATCATCTCCTCCTCAGCAAGCTCTGTGAACGTTGTGGGAATATCGTAGCCGATCGGTCTCTGCGGATCTCGTTGACTTTTCTGGAGCAACCGTTGGCAGGCATCATCATAGAGTACACGAAAGACTTGTTCAGGGCGGAAGGCTGTTCGTGTTAATGACTCCTCCCGATATGCGTCTGACGAGAGACTTACGATGCATATTAGGCGGGTACTGATCTAGAATAAAGCTGGAGATGATCATCGGAATTGCGAATACCTCCACGTCCTCGGACGATTTTACCTCTTGGAGGAAAGCATTGAGATACGAACTCAGATCGGGAGAAACAGGATTCATCATTCTGGACATGCGTACAAGATCTAGAGGGCTCCTGTCCACATTAACAAGCTCATCCATAGCGTACTGAAGAAATTTGGAAAGGTGTTGTGCTGAGAAACGCTCTCCGTTTCTGGTACGATTGCGCTGCGCCGAAACCAGACACCTTGCCAGTTCGTTGTGAAGTCTTCTCTGTGGCGTCTCTCGGGATGATCTCCTTGTCTGCCGAGGTGGACTTGCAAGATCAAAGTCATGATATTCCTGGAACATTGGCGGTATCATTCCTTTGACGTCGTCTTTCAAGATCCCACGGATCGATACTTCCATACCATCTTTAAGCTCTTCGAAGATCAGGAACAGCCGCAATCCGCTTTGAGAAGTTGTTGCTCGACCGTACCTGAGCCATGCCCGAAGCCGAGAAGCCAAGTGAGTCAAGCCTCCAATGTCGTCCACGAAAATACATACGATATCGACGAATGGGAACAGTAAGCGACAATATACGTGATCGATTATATCTACCGGCCTTTTCTCGCCGATGGTTGATGTCATCTCGTAGTTTCGCGTCTCATGGCATCTTGGTGTATTGTTCAACCTGCCCGGTTGCACTTTTGTTGACGCTCCAGTATTGAAAATAACGAGAGGCACTGACTTCCCAGTAGGTCCCAGAAATTGAGACTGATGGACTTGAGCCCTCCAGCCTAGGTGTCTTCTTTCGGAAGGATACTTTTGTATCCCGAATTCCAGCAGAGCATCATTCTTGTTTTCGTCTCCAATGAATAGGGCTAGACCAGGAGAAGTCTGATCTGGACAGTGAAGCTGGCATACAAGTTCCTCCAGTCTGTCCGTGACTTCAAGCTGGGAACCACGTTCGTGACGTACAAGACGTAGCCAATCAGAATGCTTGCATTGAGCCATGGAGAGTACGGAAAGATGTAACGAGGTCCGATTACAGTATTTCTAGGCCTTCCACTAGAATATATATAGCCGCGATTGCATAAAATAAAACCCTGATTGTTCCACTATTCGACGTCAAGTATCCGTAGGATGGTTCGAACGTAATGAATACACAGGTCGTATCCTTTCAGCTTTTTAGGGCTTCTGAGGACAGAAAAAGCTTTTTGGAGCGCCCTTGGTCTGGATCTTGAACATCCTAGAATGGACTTTAATCGTAGTTTGCTCTATTACTTCTTCAAAACGGTAATTCAAGATCAATATATGGACAGTGTAAAGAGGGCTAAGCAAAATCGCACGGTATGGGACGAGTCGACGTCTACAATTTGACTTGGGAGTGTAATATATTGAATTTCGGGGAAATTTGGGCTATCACGTGGGATACGTACCATTTGGAGCAGATCTATTTCTCTCCTTTTGGATCTTGAGTCCGCAATTTCTTACCAGTTACCTGCTCGTTTTCGCCAAGAAAATCCAATGATGGACGAACAAGAGTGGCTGAATAAAATCTGGCACTCGTTTTATATTGTATCCACATTTTCCTTCAATGCATTTATAATGCTGTATACCGGAAAATGGCTTAGAAGAAGACACACTACCTTGTACAATACTGGGCTCGTGCAAGATCGAAATAGTACACATAGTAGATGTTAACACCAAATATGGATCGTCCATACTCCGAGGCGGAAAATGGATACAAAAAAGTATCTTGGTTCGATTGTGCTGATGCGTTCAAGTCATCTCGACCACTGCTCTTCCGCGTAGTCATTCTGACAGTATAAATATGCGAAATTTGTATTCCATCATTACAAGACGTTTTGAAACATTAGCATTCGCAGAGCATCCTTTAATACAGGTCATCAAAGTAAACAGCAGGCACAAATCGTAACCCAAAATACATCAGATGTTGTTCCCGTCACCTTCACCGCCACCACCATCACGACCTGATATGATGTCGAATGTCAAACCCCTCGTAAAGGCTCATGCGAGAGCCATGGAGGAAGATGGATGGCAAACTAACCCTGGCACCACTCCGATGAGCAGTAGCAGTAAGAAGGATACATCAGGTGAAACAACGGACTTATCTCAACAAGGGAGAGCTTCAAGCCCAGAAAGCTTCGTGAGCGGCGCCGATTCAGCCACAGATAAAGAAAGTAACGACCCGTCAAAAACTGTTCAGCTGAAGTCAACGCTGGAAGATGACGGGAGAGAAAAGCGCACAGCCGAAGACGCCGACGAGATCGGGCAATACGAGGGCTGGGTAGAGGAAGCCCGGGGAATGCAAAGAGGCCTGCTCAAATATGGACCACCAGTTCCGGCTAAAACAGGCCTGTTCAGATATGGATCACCAGTTTCGGCTAAAAAAGTCCTGCTCCGATATGGTCCACCAGCTTTCGCTAAATATTGGATTCAGATTGCGAATGGTGTCAAGACAGCCATCACCTCAGGGGACATGCAGAATCTCTCTCTGAACAGGCCTGGAGAAGAACGCAAGGCATGTGAGGGATACCGTAAGGGACCCCATGTTGTCCCGGAAGGATCCATCGTCTCTGTTCTTGGCGTCGGCTGGGAATATGGCGATAATGAAAAGGATCCGATCGGTTTACTGAACCCAATGAACTGGGGGACAGGAAGACGACAGCCTTATACGCTGGTTAAAGTCAAGATGCACGTACCAAGTGACGATCATTCACCAGGGGAGCATACCGTCAGCTGGGAGACTAGATCAACTATCGAAAGAATAATGGGCAAAGAAAAGATTACTCTAGGCAAAAGCGTCGAGCTGGATGGGAAAGTTCTTTTTGAAAAGTCACAGCCAATTGGAAAATCCGATGCATATATTATTATGGCGGCGGTGCGATGCGAAGTACGGTACAGAGGGTGGATGGACGAAAAACGGGAAGCTAGTTGCTAGCGAGATCGCACATAGTGCCAACAACTAGTCCGGGTACTGGATTTTCATATCAAGGGTCACATAGATATTTCATACAGTATCACTTAATTTCTCTCTTTATAGATAATACTTCATCGGAAATGAACCCTCGCCACACACCTCAGCAACCCATTTCTATGATCCATAACTGACGCTGACCAGATCTACTTGGTACAGTTATCCACAAGTATGGAGTAATCTGGTCAGCCACATTCGGCCGTTAATTGTATAAATGGTTCAATCGTCGTATTTCGGGAGGATGTCCGTTCTAGACTGTCGGAGGCGGAGTGCTTATTGTTCCAAATACTCTTCTGTGTTGAAATAACTTCTGTGCTGGAATGTACTTCTGGGATATTTATTTGGGATATTCTTCTAGGCTACTGTTCTGTGATGGAATACTGTTCTGTGGTGGGGTACTGTTTTGTGGTGTGGAATTGTTCTGTGATGAGATGCTCTTCTGTGTTGGGATACTATTCTGTACCTTGGATACTCCTTTGGGATATTCTTAGGGCTAATAACTCGACATGGGGACACAAAATCCGTAAGCTGAAGATATGTATATGGGTCAAAGATTGTTTTCGTTGAAAGTGTCATGTTCCGACAGTTTGGTACACCAAAACAGGAAAGTCAGTGAAGCTCCACGACGGACCACAATTCCGGAACAGAACCCTTGTTGCCTGTAAGGCAGAAGAGTATCCAACACGGAAGAGTATTCAACAACAACCACTCCGCCTACGGCAATCTAGAGTGGACAGCTTTCCGACATATGGATGGCTAGACTGTCGAAGTTGAATCAGTGATGATCCATTATAAGTTGCCCGCTCGTGTAATTCGTGCATCTAATAAAATTGAGAGATATGAAGGTAGCCAGGTACCAGCGCTGCCACTCAATAGTCTTGGTTCTCCTTCTTTTCCACAGGAACAGAGGAGCTTCAGTATCAGCTTTGATAAAGTAGTCCGCAATTGACTTGATCACGTTAATTAGCAGTATAATCAGAGCAATTTTGCAATATTGTACCATAAATGCCTACCCACATTAAGGAGCTTCAGTTGATCACCCCTAACTTACAGCATCCACAGGGAGGTGACTTAATGCATAACACTAATCGTTGCGTATATATTACGAACTCACGAAGTTCTCGTTGGAGAACTTCCTATAGTCCCAAATGAAGACTAAGGTAAACTTCAAACCCTTAGAGGTCGTTCCCAAGACTAAACATAATTTCTAATGATTGTGCCGTAAACAAAACCCTGAACGCAAAGGCGCAGACGCTGAGACCCTGCAAGCCGACACTTTCCTTTGTATACTGTAAGACTGTCCCGATGACTACGACGAGGTCCGGTTTGGGGTTTGGAAGTGGAATCAGTCAAGATGAGATCGTTATGCGCCTTCTCCTTAGGCGTGAGCACCTCGACGAGCGCGTACCGAGACCATTCTCCGAAGAATGGCAATAGATGATGTTCGCAAGTACTAGCGATGTCGACATCACGCACAATGGCGAGGTCATTATTGTCAACAGTAAAGATGGCATCGTTGACAACATCTTCAAACCTTTCAGAGTAACCTTTGGTGAGATGGATAAGGGGTTTGGCGTATCTTGCAGGCGTCTTTTGCAGTCCTTCGCGGTCTGGGTCTTCGCCGATAAGGCAAGAATTGTACGGATCGCAGTCTCGAGATCTGCTTGGGGAGACACGATGGATTGACCGCCTGGCATAGAAGTAGTCTCTCCGCGTCGGCTGCCTCCTGAATGCAACATACAAGTTCGATCTGTCTCGTTGCAGCTTGGAATATGCAATCAAAAGTGCTGCTAATTAATTTGCAAAATGTATCCTGGTCTCCCCCACCCCCCTCACTAGTTTCTCGGACAAGGGTCCTAATTATCTATGAGTAAGCATAAGGTACATCGTGGGCTCTCCGAGTCCTCCAGTGTAACATGCATCAGTCCATCAGGATGCACCTCGTCGGCCCATGCCTTGCTCCGTAGACGTCTTGATTTGTCGGAAGACTTGCATGGAAACAGCCGTGTCCGGAGTTGTTGTAGGGGCTATAGATTTGGCAGCGGGGATAGCCGGCATTGATTCGGGAGAGGTTGAAGACGAAATTGATCTATTTATCCTACCAGCATTATAGAAAGCTCAATCTGAGGGTAACTGTATAAGGTTTATTTAAGGGACTTCAGCATGTACCTATCTTACATACCAATTGCGAATACCTTGCACTAAATCCTGATCGCCGTTTCACCATCGTAAATAGATCGGCTCCGATGCGTCAGTCGTACTCGTCCAAACTACAATTCTAAAGACCCACGGTTGTGAGAAGTTCATGGTCCACTATGGCTGACTTTGGTACGTTTCTGTTGCAGATGTTCATAATCCTTATTGTACTGCTTTAGTTGGAGGACTTTTTGAGCAACAAATGCTTCGATATCGTTTGAGTCGGAGAATGCCTTTTCCTGCTGCTCCCATTTATCGCGGCCAATGTGTTCTCGTAGACGAGTGAATGGGATGCTGTCATCAAAATTGAACCCACAGGAAAGAACCATATGAAGCCATATTGCACCTGAACTTTGAGACCATTTCAAAAGATCTGACAGTCTTTGGCGGCAAGATGGCATTTTCTTTTCCTCATCCTCTAGTACCTGCGTGAATATGCGCAAGTACTGAAGAAATCTGTCGGCAATTTTGGGAGATTCCTCGTCATATTCGGCCGACCATAGATTCAATCGAGCTTGAAGAAGCCACCAGGGAGTGGCAAATAGCTGAGCTGTGCCGACGTATGACCACTCAAGATCTACCACGCCAACAATAGTGACATCATCTTCTCCTCGGACGATGAGGTTCGACAGACCAAGATCATCGCAAATGAGCTTGAATGGTCCTCTGTCAAACTCAGTGTTGATGAAATAAGGTAAATTGGCGGCCAGTACACTTAGGCATGCATATTTGGCTCTGGCGTCGTTCGGGCCAAATACTGAGTTGCGTTGTTGTCGAAGTTGTTTCCAGTCTTGGCTGACGATATGTTCAAAATACGCTTGTGTCGCAAGGATGGGAATGTTCCTATCACCTACGTCTAGTTAGTACAAGGCCATAGTTCGGCGTTTGGTGTAGCGTAATACGCACTAAAACAATTCACGCCTCCTGTCTGCATGATATCATGTCCCTTGTATGTTAAAGGGTGATCGTAAGCAGTATACCTTGTCTTCGCTGATGGTACGTTGCCAATTTTGTCGAAATCAAGCTGGAATAATTCAAGCTGTATCTTTGCAAACTGTGCGTAGATGGCTGCCATTTTGTGATCGCTAATATCCGGCCTGATAAGTCTCGAGGACAATCTACCAGAATCTTTCAGAACATCGCTAAGGCTGACGCCTTCAATGAAGTCCATGACGATGAAAGGACCGAGAATGAGCGGATTATTAGCAGCAAGTCCCCAGGCCCGAACCTTGGGGACAGGTACGGTGGTTTTCTCGTAGATGAGACACAGCGTTTCGACTTCCATGGCAACCTTTTCGTCCGCGAAGTCGTCGCAAATGTTGCCAACAAGAGGAAATCGGACAAGCCAGGAAGTTCCATCACTGAAAGCTACCTTATTACCCACGTTATATGCACCATTGTAGAAACCACCATCGAGCTTACAAGGAAGGTGGCGCGGGTGCAAAGAGCTGTGCTTGATAGTAACACCGGGCTCGCTTTAAGCCCGTCACTATCGACGGCATACTGGACAATGAATAAAGCACACATGTCTCGCTCATAGCCATCCGTTTGTTGGGAGTGAAGATGGTACAGTTTCCATTACAGGGCATACCACTACCAAGGATGACGGAGGGCAATTAGTGACCCGAACAAAGCTTGAACAGCGAAGGATATGTAGGTCTCGGGAAGTGAGAGAATCTCCATGCGAATGCAAAATCATTACGTCACCTTTCTTTGGCGACCCTGATGATGGAGTTGTGCTCATGGGAGAGGACTGGCTGAGAAGTTGAAGCAAGAACGACAAATGCAAGAAATGATGGCACGCCGGCCCCCCTCGAAACGATTACCTACAATCCTAGCTACACACAGAACATAAATACAAGTACACACAGATTCGACAGTGGAATGAAAAGCATAGCTCGGGTTTCCTATATATATTGTTTTAAACACCAGCTCTGGTGTGGCATGGTAGAATGGCATCTGGTGGATAGGCAGGAGGCCAGATAGTGCAGCAGTGTCTTCCTGGAATGAGCCACAGTAACCATGTCTTGCTCTCTTTCTATTCTGACTCTTTTTTTTTTTTTTTTTTCGTTTTTTTCGTCACTGACCCGAGACAATATTTCGCAAATTATTTATTATATACAGTATTTCAGGGTAGCAAAATGTTGAGCTGGACCTGACAACATGGTTAGCTGCTGCTTAAGTCCCGGCCATCAATCGTCTATAGTCCCGCCGACGGAGATAGTTGCCTCTACCTGAGCGATAAAAAGTGGTCTTGATTCACGAACCTAGAATTGATCGCATCCAGAACTGCCGCAATGAGCCCTGAGCTGCAGAGACGGTCGAAAGGTCCCTTCAAAGGTACTTTCTCCCTTACCTTCTCCAGCATCTGGGCACGAAGTTTATAACGGAGTCGATTTGCCGATTCCAAGGGAATGTATAGATAACGGCCGAGATTACTGTCTTCATTTCAGTACCGAATTAAACATATCTGCGAAAAGCGTCGCCATCATCATACGAATTGCATTAGCGAGTCCAATCCGGAACTGGACTTATTACCATTGGCAAGGACAAGCTACGAAGCGACTAATTCTGGATCTCGACTTTTCTTCTAGGACCGATACATAGTTTGGAAATCGCATCACAAGAACTCAATTCCGGGGACAGCGCAGCACACTACCACAAATTCAAAATGATTATCAGATCTCATGTACCTATCGCATTATGGACCATTTATGTTATCATAATCACCATATCTTTATACTTCTCGTGGAAAACACTCGATACCGTGAGTAATCGGTCTCGCGGCATCTTCACCATCGAGGTACAGTTATACAGCCGGGCTTTGATCCATACTCGTAGACTAAATAACACTCAGTTCCCCGGTGCTTTCTGTCGCACAACGTCTATTGAGCATTTGGACATCAACAATCCAGGGATATTGTCCTGGAATTGACCTCCATTCTTACAGCAGCAGAACCTGTCGCCACTCAAATCGCATCACAAAGCAGGGAAGTCGCAACAGCCGCGATCGGCCAGGCTGCTGCTCTAGTAAGCAGTGCGGTCGCCGCCGGAGAGAGCCTTATTCACACAGCGATCCCGCAAAACTGCTCTCTGGCACCAAGGCCGCCTGCGTTGGGTACAGTGACAGTATGGACTGTTATACATTACCTATCAACGAGTCCGGGTCATTGGCAACGTTGCTGGTCGACGAATCTGGATCCAAATCGATTCTTAAAATCCTTCAATTGATGCCTTCCGTCCAGTCGTTAATGATAGTTGGCAACGTCTTGATTTTTGTGTCACTGCTTGGAGTATGGAAACAAGTTCCTTTTGCGAGAACTATTCTCTTGGGTTCAAGCGCAGTGAGCCTTTTGTTTTTTTTTTTGTTTTTTTTTTATCACCGCTGGCTTTGTATGGTCTGCGATTAAAAGCTTTTCCAGTGTGGCCTCAACTTGGTCGGCAACATTTGATAGAGGGCCTGCATTCGAGACTTCAATCGCTGTCTTCGTATGCAGTTTACTCAGCTTGACGTCTTGTAACTTACTGTTATTTGATCATGCCATCTTCGCTTGGGTTTCTACCGCAGGGGTCTGGGACTATCTCAACATCATTTGTAACCAACATGAGTAGGCCTCGGTCTCTGTCGAAGGTCTCGAACATTTGTCAGATGTTCCATGAGGAAAGAAAGCCTCTGTCGGCTTCAGATTGCTATGGATACATATCAGACGCAGGGAAGCGCAGCTTTGAGCTTCATCCCTCATTTGAAAGACCTTCAAGGTTTAGCCAGACCTACACGTTGCGCGAGGTTCTATCTGGCTTTGATGACATTAAGTGGGAAGATAGTCATCCGTTTGGATACGAGAAAAGACTAAATTTGGCCCTGACCCTCGCCAGCAGCGTTATGCAAACTTACAACACACCGTGGCTCACAAGGGTTGTTACTCTTGACGATATAGTTTTCTTTTCGGATACCAGCAACGAAATATCTTCTCGGGAAACTAATGCCCCTTACCGACCTTTTGTCACAAGACTTGTACCACGGATAAGTGTTGAATCTCAGCTTGGGCCGGAGAAGGTTCCACAAATGGTAAACATGACTGTTCTTTCTCTCGGCGCACTACTTCTGCAAATCATTACTGGAGGCGTGGAAGCCAGTCTCGAAATCACTGATACGGCGGACGTGAATCATGTACTGACTCAACATCAAATTGCGAGGCAGCTGGAAGCGAAAGTCATCGAGAACGGAGGGCCAAACTACGCAAAAGTCGTCAAGTGGTGCTTCGACAACGCAATCGGGCTGGCTGGATTCCAGAATGAGAAGTTCTGTCAGGAGTTCTATGAGGTCGTTATTGCGACTCTAGAACAGGACGCTGCTCTGCTGGAGGAACAGCGAACTGGCTACTACGATGATTTCGATTAGTCAGATGACCAAAAAGGAATGACACCTTCTAGAGTCTGACTAGAACGCATGAATGAGACCATTTTCCTCTGCGCCCCAGCCTTGGCCGTGATGACTATGCAAATTACCGCTATACCTAGGCCCTGACCACGTGCGGACGGGAAGGCGTCGTCGTCCGCCCGTAGCTATTTATTTGACGGGCCCAGACACAGAGATGATAAAGCTCGGTGGACTATCCCGTGCTCATCTAACAGGGGGTCTCAAGACATTTCTAGACATGACTTCCGTAGTTTGATCTCCTGCAGTGGGACTTGGAAATGCCTACACAGCAATCGGGAATCCGCCCGACTTGATTTGCTAATTTGGGCAGTGGACTGAAGCCACCAAGACACCATGGCGACAATGCGAAAATCGCGGGAGGCTTCGGGGATGAGCGCCTTGACTACGGGACCGTTGAGCGCATCCGGAAAATAACTTATTGCCAATAAGCAACGGGACCAGCCGACGGACTCCCAGACCGGCCCTTGAGTCTGCTTGCACTCGATGAAAGACTATCTTCTTGACGGTTAATACCAAATTCACACTTAATTTGAAGACTAACACCGTATTAAGTTTCTCTTTTTGAAACTTTCCTTCTGATAGCTATTTCGTCATTAGTCACAGCCAAAGCCTAGAAAGCATCCCCTGCGACAAGGTCATAGAACTCGGCCGAACCAAGAAGTGCTCAATCGACATCGTGGACCGTGGCGGAAGTTGTTGTTGAAGCTTGGTCGTTAGTGCGCAGCCCTCGTCCCTGGGAGATCCAAGCCGGCCTAGAACCTCGTGTCATCTCCACCCATCAAGCATCTGAATTCTTCAGGGTGAAGGCATACGCGGCTGGCCCATTGCAGGACATAGCCTACACAAGAAAAATGCCAGGTCAAGCTGGCGGGAGACGGGGCTCGGGGCAGAGGGCGACTCGATGTCCATGTTCTTTCTGTTCAGCTTCCAATTCCCCGTCGTGGGGTAAAGTCGGTCTACACTACAGAAAAAGATGACAGGGGCTCGGGGAGTTATTGGACGCCCAGGAGTCACTTCGGTGTAAGGATGCAAACAAGAATGGCATCGGCGGTTGAGGGCCCCATTATGCAGGCAAGGTGTGGAATACTCTCACCTGGCACCCAGTGCCTTCCGGTGGGGGAGGAGTGAGCTCGATAAGATGTGTCGTACGAGGACCCTGATCGCAACATCCGCAGCGAATTTTACTTTTGTGGTGCGAGATCAAATTCTTGGATATCAACAGATCGTGGGATATATATATTCGCGCTCGCAAGACAGCTCGCAAGAGCAATGTATCAACATTGTGATTTGCATCTCGGGAATCGAACCGAGCCGCATATAGAATGTGGTGTGAGGCGACCAGAACAAACGGGGATCCCGTGTCTATAGTAGTATCTCAACATGCGACGACCGAAAGTTGGTTGCGAAGTAGTATTACAGGGATTTTATAGCAATCACGAACTTTTTTTCTTTCTGGAATCTTGACACCTGACTACAGCATCCCTAGCAATCTAAATTACACTTTGAGCTGTTGTCAATGCTAATTTTAAAGAAGAATGTCGGGGCCGTGGAAGCAAGCAGAGGGAATCCGGAAAGACTAGGCCGGTTCGATATAGGCGTCGATCCACCCCGTATGGATCGCGGTATACCTATTTAGGAGTGGTGACAGCTCGTAGAGCTCACCCATTTGTGGTTTAACTGTTG